AAATTAAAGCATCAAGTGCAGACTAAGCTGGCAAGCTTATCAAACATCTCATGTGTCAATTCAAATGTAAAATAAATTAATAAGAAATCAGTACTACTTACAATAGAGACTACTAGATAAGTGTATGCGCTGGTTATCAATTAATTATTTTTTTATGTTTAAAAAATATATTTTGGTCTACATTTATATATTTAATTACACATAGTTGACAAAGTCTATCGATTATTTTAAAGATACATTGATCAATTTAAAAATCGAAACTTGAAAAAGATCTAAAAATTTGCTTATCGAAATACCAGTGAAGGTGCCTGTCGACTGTCGATCGAAGGGGGAAGTACATATATAAGACTGTGGAGCCTATCGAAAGCTTTAAAGAGTTCGTATTATGTCGACTATCGTCTATTAATTGAGTAGATAGTGTATAGCAGATAAAGAAAGTTTAGAAGCTGACAGCTTTTAATTATCTGCAGGTCGTATTGATTGGGCTCTAATAATACAATATCAATATTTTTGATAACAGTAGGGATCGCTGGTAGGCGAAAACCTGGCACTTGTCGAATAATTATGGTGGTTTTAATTTTCGAATTTATCGATCAACGCTGAAGTAACCCCGCAGTGCAACAACAAGTAAAAGGTCTAAGTGTAATCCAGCGATTAAGTGTTTGTGTAATCGAGCAAGCTTTATTTATGTTTGTGCTCCATTTGAAATATTTCATGTGTAGTAAAAGCGCCATCAAGCAACAACTTAGAAAAGAGAAAATAACATTCATTGTGTATTGCTCGACATTCAAAATAACTACGGAGAAAAACTTTCTGCTAGCTGTAGTACAATGACAATTACTGATGAACTGACAGACAGTTTTGTTGTCGTGCAACTTGTTCAAAACTCACATGCCGCACAACATATGTAGCGCATTAACAATGGGAAGCGCCTGCCTGACAGTGAGATAGAACACATGCGTGGCGTCAAACTTGAGCAACATGTCCAGGCAACAGACAGACTGAAGGGAGAGATCTCAACAAGCAACGACCAAGGAGCAGGTGTTCCAACTTATTCATTAAAACAAAAGGAAACAGACTAGCAGACGGACAGGTAGCACCAGAAGCAGAAGTCGGGAGGGGCAAGGCAGCACACCAAGACGCTGCCACTGGCAAGCAGTCAGTTAGAACTTTTGGCTGGGTGCGGCGCTGTCTCTGCTGCTGCCTCTGCTGCTGCTTCTGCTGGTTAAGATTGTGGTCGACACGCAATTGCGGCAATTTCAACTTGAATGCTCTCTCTCCACACAGTCAGCCATCCAGCCGATGAGACAGGCGTTGCAACAAGGCGCTTAGAAGCTGCCACAGCCGCATCACCCCTTAGCTGCCGTCGAGCTGACATCCGCCGCAGTCCATCCTGGCAAAGAGTTGAGCGCGCCAAGTGCCGCAGCGTCAATTGAAACCGAATCCGGTTTTTGGGGGACTCTCTGTGTTAACTTTCCATGCCCGGTAGCGCTGATTGCTAAGACAACGGCAGACCAATTCATTCAACGCCAGCTGCATCTGCCTCCACTTGGCATTCAGGTTCTTGCTCTTAAGCTACGCCTCCTCCTTATAGTTCTCGTCTCTAACCACTTGCCAGATTGTTTTTTGCATACGATTTGAGTGGCCTCTGCGGGCGATTCCAGTTCGATTTATCATGGCCAAAGTTATGATCGCTTAAGTGCTGGCATTTAGTGGTCCCAGTTTGATGGCAACTCCAATTGGCCGTAATAAATTTTTCCCATGACAACTCTAATTATGGTCGGCGTTTAAATAGTTGGGTTGTTCCCCGGCTGCAGCTAAGCTTTAGATTAATCGGAATCGTTTGCGGGCTTATAATGCTTTTATTATTTATATATACCTTTTAGAATTGAGACGAGGCCCTTACATATTTTGTATCCAATCCTTTTTTATAGTAATCAAAAATATTTCGATTTATAATTGTCACCTAAAATTTTCCATAAATCAAAACAATTTCAAACATTAGAATTTCCATGCATCAACATTATAATGTCATCTTTATCGCTGGAAGAAGATTTATAAAGACAACTTGTCCATAAAATGGTTATTTTAATAATCGCACCTCAGATTGTATCTCTACGCAGTATACATAATAAATGTATATATTTATTATTTATTGGCAACACATAATTGCTGGCAAATTATCATAATTTTTATTGAGATTGAGCCATCGAATATATTAAAAGTCATGCCAAGATCGTGGTAAACCCTACCAAAAGTATTCAAATTTATTGTCTAACATTTTTTTAAATACTCTACGCCAAACAAGCTTCTATTTTCATATGCCGCAAACGCAGAACCCAAAATAAAACCACAAAATTATGAACACAAAACAAAAAAAGACAGTTGCCATATACCAGAACGGAAGTTGGCTGCACAGCAGACAGTATAGTAGCTTCGAAACGTAGTTAGAGCTCAAAAAGAGGCCATAAATATTGTTCATTTGTAAATAAATGGTTAAAAAATAGATAGAAAAAAATACAATAATGAAAAGAAACATAAATAGAAAACGCACAGCGTACAGCATATAAAACATTGTCCAGTTGCCCATGTTCATTTCCAGTATGGGCAGCCGTCATACTTGCGCTTCGACTATTTCCTAGACAAACATGAACATGGGGCCGCACCAGAGTGTGGCCCACCAGTTGGTTGTGCGTTTGTTTTATTACAGTATCATCTTCCGGTCACTTTGTCATTTCTCCACAACATATTTCAAACAGTTACGACGAGACAAGTGGCCGCTGCGCGTGGCCAGCCGAGGCACCCAGGAACTACCCGTACAACGCTATAACAAGAACTGGAATTATTAAAAAAAGTAGAAAAAAAGAAAGAAACTCGCTTTGCGGAGACCTAGAAACGGATGTGGTATAGACAGAGTCGATGGGTTTTTTAAAATTTTTTTTTCTATATTTCTGTTCCTCTTAATGTTGTTTTGCGCCAAGTGTAGTGTTGTTAAAACTCTTCAAGTAGTTCTTAGGATTAATAACAAATTTACTAGCTTTAAGAAAAAATGATTGGTGTACACAATTCCTTTGCACCATAAAAATTTATCTGTTTATGAATCATTTTTGGAAGGAATGAAAATAATCATAACATAATTAAGTAACAAAAAAATAATGCGCGTTGTACTCCATTCCCTTATTTTTTTTATAACTGTGCAATGTCAATAATTTTTGAATTTTGAATTATTTGATATGTTATATTTTTTCAACAAATTTTTATTATATTATGTGTTGTATTCATTAGCACATATATTATATATATACATTTTAAAGGATTTACTTTCTAACTTCTATAAGCGATTTATGTTTATTATTTATATAGTTATTTGCCAACATTTTTGTTTTTAAATTTTTATCAAGTGCTTTATATACGAATTATCGATGCTACAACCAAATCGTATATATATTTATTTCACCACAATTATTCTTTAATTGCTTTACAAGTCGGCTTAATATGGCAATCAATATGTTGTTTTTGAAACTTTTCCCATTCTAACATCCAAAATTTCGCTCAGTGTATATTACAATGTGGATTTGCTGAGTGCGCTAAAAAGACAAAGCGCCACAGCGGATCACAAGTGCCACGCCAGCCGCAACGAACTATCGACTAGGCACACACTCTTTTACACACACACAGACAAAGTAATCCGAGCTACGAGCAGCACCCCACAACGTGCAACGCAATGAGGCACACGCTGGCCAGTGGCCGCCACTTAAAAGCAGTGCGTGCGGTTGCACAAACTGGATAGCAGGGGGAGCTCAGACGCCTACGCTAGAGTAACTCTTTACCCCTAGGCCGCCTCTCATTCCACTAAACTGTGGTAACGCTGTGCGGTGCGCTGTGTCGCAACGCGCTTTGAATATGAATTACACAGAGAACGCACACGACTTTGACGCTCTGCAGTAGCAGCAGCAGCAAAAGCAGTAAGAGAAGAAGCAGCCGCCAGGCGGGTGCTGGCCATGTCAACGTTTGATGTAGATGCCTCAGCCGCTGCGGCGTTGCTTAACGTTCTTGTTGTTGTTGCTGTTGTTGTTGCTGCTGACTCAAAGCATTCTGAACTTTGTGATTGATCAAAAATGATGACATTAACATGCATCAAGGTGCACTTTGCGGCTAGTGCTCATCAGAATACCCTGCACTGCATACTGGAGCGTCATTATGTTGGCGTTCATTATTGGCATTGTGAACGTTTTGGTCGTCGTAGTTGATTGATTGATTAATTAACAAAAGCATTGCCGTTATGTGCCAATTATGTTTATGAAAGTATTCGAATTTGCATATCTAATGCCAGCACACTTACATATATGAGTATATGTGTGTATAGTGAGTGCATTCATTCAAACTCGTAGCACATTCATTCAACCGACATGCGTATGTAGTTCATTGTGTTAGTTATGCAAATGTTGCATTTCCGTTTTGAACAACGGGTCGAATGGGTCCCCAATGCAGCTTAATTATTCATTAATTTCAACTTAAAATTTACAGTGTGCGTGTTGTTGTCATTACGATACCCTATACTGATGTATGGGCCGATAAAGGGTATGCTAATATGTAATAGGCACTAGGGGCTTTTTGAATGTCATGTTTTAATAAGAAATCTTGAGGCATACGTAAATGTTAGATTAACATTCTTTGTGTTCAAAAAATTGCGAAAAATTTATATAAAGATCATGATAGTTAGATCTGTGTACAGAGTATTTTTGCTTACAGCTCAAACGATTTTTGTTGGCTGTTTTCATTTATTGGCTGGTCAGAGACTCCCGCTAGGGTTGCGGCTTTGCACATCTGCAGGCTTTTGTCACCATAAATGAAGTGTTGCCCGATTATGAAATAATTATACGCATTGTCTGCACAGCGGCAGCAGGCTTCCCGAGCTTATAAAGCCATTGTGATTGGGTCAATGTGTCTGCAGTGTTTCTATTGAAAGCTGACTTTGGCAGGCTTTTAGTTTGTTTTCATTTAAGCAGACTGTCAGCCATGTAACCGGCTACAAAGTGTATTTACATTATATTCTCAGCACACAACAACACTTACAATATAACCAACCTGCTTCAATAATCTTCCAAGGTAAGTGTTATTAGTGCAAATATATTTAAGTAGATTGCCATCAATTGCTACGTTAGCCTTAAAGGTTGTCTTCAAACAGGGCAGTCCACCATGCCTATCATATTTAACCCTGGCTACATTGGACCCAATCCGCCTTGTTGTGATACGGACTGTACCGATGAAAGCGAATGTCCGAATGCCGAGTGCGGGCCATGCCCAGGACCGAGAGCGCCTTGTGGCGGCTGTTCACCAGCTGCAGATAAAAGACAGGAATATGCTGAGGAAGATGTTGAAGACAGTAACAATAAATCGGAAGATCCACCATGTCCAGCCTCAACTCCAACAAATGAAAATTAACCATCTTTAGAATCCAATAAATTTAATTTTAGTACAAGGAGTTTTAGTACAAGGAGTTTCGATTACTAGTAATACAGGCTTGTGCTGAGAATCTGTTGAAATTGCTAAAGAAAATGTTGTGTTAAATTAGATCAAGCTACCTTTGCCTCTTAGCTCGGGTATAGAAATTGAGAAATATTTTCTGCATTCTATACAATTTTTAACATAGACTGGTTAGCTTTTATTTTGGAAGCTTTTCATTTTGAATTAATTTACACAGAAAACATTAGAAATTGTATATTCTGGAAAATGGTTGGTCCCCGCTGTCAACGTGAAAGCATGAATCCCTTTTACCTCGGTCCGTATCCCGAAAAATCTTGTTCTTCCTATCCATTTGGCATATACTCGGGCTATATTCCATGTTGGAGCGAGCGCTGCAGGGGTATGGCAGAGAGAAGACTGTGCAACACTGATTTAGATAAAGAGAGTCAGACGGGAAGCAAGTGTTCAAAATAATTTTAAATTTATAATTAAATTTGAAAAACTTGGCTACCAAACGCAATAAACAACAAAATTTACAGTTGAAGTTTGATGATTACTGATTCCGATGCACAAGGTCGGCAAACTCCTTGGTTGATTCTGGATTTTGGCTTGAGGAATTTTGATTCAAATGAATACTGAAGTGACTCAAGCTTGTTTTCCGAAATTATATTGTCTTAGCCAGAGTCCAAAGTTGGCAGCGTCATTTGAAAATGTCATTTCTTGGAAACAGCAGAAGGCACATTGTTGATAGATTCTTGATGCAAAACTCCTGCACAGCCATTATTCCGATGTGAAAATTGCAGGTAGCCCAATCTTTGTTAACAAATAGATTCTAGTTGACTCTGTATGTGACGTCATGTTTTCAATTTCCCAGCTTACTAAAATTACAAAAATAAATCAATTTATATTTCATAAACAATCAAAAAAAAAAAAGTATTAACAATAATATGGGAAATGTAGAATTGTTTGGTGCATTTGTGTTGATAAATTGAATCCAGCTTAGGGTCTGTTTTTGTGTACAAAAGACACTTGTTAAGCCATGGAAGCTCTGAAGTCGTGTACAATGGATCAAATGCTGCCAGCGGTGCGCAGTGCAATCCTAGAGGTGCATCAGTCTTTTACACAGGCTCATCGTGAAACTGGGCCTACACTGGATGCGGCATGCATGGACGAGGCTATGATAGAGATATGCAACAGGTTTCGTTGTCTGCTCTGCTTAGTTGTAGATGTGATGGCGCATTTGGGCGGTTAATCAGCAGCGCTTTGACTTGACTTTCAAAATACACGATGCGGCACTTAATGATCAAATTTCAAGTGTGAAGCAATGCTTGGATGATAGCTCTCCTAGACTGGACCGGAAATAAAGTCCTGTTTGCTATGGATAATTTGCACACCTGTGTTGGAGTGATTGGAGCTCTGGCGTTGTTGATCACTATGACACACACAACATCTCAGGTGGTGGTTAATGCCGCAACACCATTTTGCGAACTGGTCGATAAAGGCGCTAAGGCCATCGAACGCGTTGCACCTGGTCAACAGATTCCCTTCATTAATTGTGAGATTATCCATGGTCCCTGTTACGCCATAAAGAAAACAGGTCAATGCATTTATAAGATAATGGAGCTCTTTGCTAGCGCCGATGCTCAACCGTATTAATCCAAAACATCAACCATGGCGCACAATTGCGGACCATAAATGTGCAACAGTATAGTGGTCATAAGTAAACAAGCTGCCAACCTGAAAAAAAAGAAATGATTGATAATATTCATCGTTCTATACAAGCTCTGTCCGCTAGATTCACTTACTGCAGTTTTACCTCTCAAGTTGATGGCAAAGGCTACGGATAAATCCATGGGCCGAGACCCATATATATATATATACAGTCATATAAAATGCAAGTGGAGAGCTATCAAATCAAATCCAGTTCAGTCACAATGTTTTATTAATGGAAATGTTGTAAAACAAAGTCGACTTTGGAAAGTGGAACTGGTCTTGCTTTGGCAGCTGCGTCGTTTGTTTTGTAGTTGAGCTCATTCCTTTCCAATATTTCGGCTAGTGAACATATATAGAATGATTTAAAAAAAAAAATAACAAAAACTCAAATCTGTTTGGAACTGATATTCACATACATTTTTGGCCTAAAAAAAAAAATAATATCAAGTGAGTAGTACAATATATATAATTTTTTTCTTTATAATGTATATTTACTTTTTCAGCTGTAGTATAATATTAGCCAACAAGGACTTGTTGCTGCGAATCTCTTAATTTTAATATGTATATCGTTTGCAAATTTGATCCGTTCTATGTTGGACCCTGCCCTCCTGGATGTCTTGTGCCCGCTGGTGGCGGCGCCAGCTGCCGTTCCTGCGGCGGCGGCTGCTGCGGTAACGGATGCTGCTGAACTAGGCGATCAGCCTAGTTGGGGTGCTCAATAAAACCTACTGGTGTTATAGTTCTTTATAGCATCTAAAATGACGCTTATGACCCAAGTGGAATTTGCACTAGCTACGGCTGAAGATATATGTGATTATATTTAACATCTTCCTTATGTTCATTTCAAAATTCTCAATAAAAAAATTAATTAATTAAAAAATTTGCATATTTGATTAGAATGATCTCGCGTACACGCGTTCTCTCATTTGCGATTATAAGGTTTCTACTCGGTGTAAAATTCCAGATATAATGTGTGATTATATAATTTAATGTATTTGCTATCTGTCTAGTGATTTGGTGGTAAAGCGGATCCATTATATTGAAACATAGTCGGCTAGTCGACTCGAGCAGTCGCTTTCTAAAATCTTAAACCTAGTAGGCTTCTAAGAAGTTAATTTGCTCTCAGGGCTTTACTCTCACCTGGTTGCTCATTATTTTCTAATTCAGGCAGCGAACAACCAAAAATAAAAATCTGAAAATCGTATATAGTCAATCAGAAGTAATACTTTATTTACTAATAAGGTCTCGTTACTTACAAACAGCTATATATATGTATGCCGTTTGAAAGTTCGATCCATTCTATGTTTGACCTTGCCCACCCGGTGTTCTGGTCCCCGCTGGCTGTGGTGCTACTTGCGGGAACTGGTTGAGATACATTTACAGTTGCTTTCAACTACGGCTAAGGATATGTGCATCTGAATTTTAAGAAATGTATATTCCAATATTGATCGTAATGTAAACTGCAGCGTGCAATAGAATCTAGTCCGAACAACTTTTGTCACTCTGATTAAAGTTGCTTACATAGAGTAACAGGGTAGCGGATTCTGAAATAAACAAAATATATGAATATTCAATAAAAACCAAAAAACATACAACTTTGCCAAGAGTAATTCTTTGTTTAAAAAATATGAACACCTAGCAGGCCTTGAAAAAAAAAAATAATAAAAATGCCCTCGTAGTTTCGTCTGGCTCAAAGGAGCTCATTATTTTCAAAATTTTCTGTTCATAAACATCTTGTAATACGAATGAGGAAATAATAATCACACATATCTTCGGCCTAAGATAAAAACTTGAGTGAGCAGCAGTAATTTTTCTATAATAATTTACATTTGTATTCAAGACTAAGAATCTGCATTTAGTATATATAAATTGCCAGGAAGGAGACGCCAGGATTTAAATATGCTTATTGTTTGCAAATTTGATCCTTTCTATGTTGGACCTTGCCCTCCTGGTTGTCTGGCACCAGCGAGTAAATGCTGTAGTCCATGCTGTGGCCCTTCCTGTGGACCATGCTGTGGCCCGTCCTGTGGTCCATGCTGTGGCCCGTCCTGTGGTCCGTCCTGTGGTCCTTGTGGTTCTTGCTGTGGGCCTTGCGGACCATGTGGCAGTCCCTGTTGCACTTCTTGCCCATGCGGCTGGTAAAGGGCATACATACAGTATGTCAATAAAGTGTTTTTACTAACAAAAAAAAACTAATTTTTTGGGTTTAGTTGAAAATAAATGTACCTAAAAGTGAGAATTTTTTTTCAATTCTAATTTATTTCGATTCTATATTTTTCCTAGAACTTAATGGCAAAAAGAATTGTTAAATAACATTACCCAAACATTTTATAAAATTAAAAAACTAAAAACATTCAAATTTTATGCTGTCAATAAAGTGTTTTTACACGAAACTTTATTACTAAATAACAATGTTAAAAAAACAGGAATATTTTTTTTTAATACTTTGTGTGGCTGCCATTAGCGTCACATACAGCCTGCAATCGCCGTTTCATTGAAACAATAAGGTTTTGTATGTATGTTTCTGGAATCTTCTGCCATTCTTCCAGTACAGCAGCTTTTAAATCAGTTTTTGATTTTGGACTCCGCTTTGCGACTTTTTTTTTCAAATATGACCACACATTTTCTATTGGATTCATATCTGGACTTTGTGGTGGAGTGTCTAACACCTTTCCACAGTTGTACAACAGCCAAACTCTTACCATATGAGCTTTATGCTTCGGGTCATTGTCCTGGTAAAATTTAAAAATTGGCTTATTGTCCTCATAGAATCCAAATTTCTGTGCACTACTGACGAGATGTGTCTGTAAAATGCTCAGATATTGTCTAGCATCCATGGTATTCTCAATGAAGGTCAAATCTCCTACACCCTTGCTCGAAATACACCCCCACACCATCACTGATAGTTTTCCGAATTTAACGGTTGGAATAATATTGCGGTTTTCCAACGCTGTTAGTGGCTTTCTCCAGACTCTGGATGGCCCATCGTTGTAGAATAGCATCATCTTGCTTTCGTCACAGAATATGACGTTACTCCAAAAATCGTTCGAACTATTTACATGGACTTGAGCGAACGATAGCCGCTTCAAAATATTCGCCGCCGATAGTAGAGGTTTTTTCCTGGCAACTCGTGATGTGTAGTCATTGGAATTCAGTAATTTTCGGACAGTTTCATGTAACACATCAACACCACTTTCTTCCTTGAACTCCTGAGCAATATCCCTAAGCGAAATTTGTGGATTTTTCTCAATTTTTCTCAGAATTTTTCGCTTATCTCTGTCAGAAATTTTGCAGGGTCGACCACATACTGGCTTTGCC